GGGGGGGTTGTTTCATCTGCAGGTGTTGGAAGCAGTATTATTGATAGCACAACTAGCTTAAAGTTGCAACTGGTCCTCTGTGGGCAACTTTGTACCATCTACTGAAGTAGGCAATGTTTTAGAGTCCTTAGACACAAAGTCTATGAAGAGTAGATTCCTGATCAACTGTTGAAGATTCAAGCTTGCTGCTGTTTGCAGTTTAGAGTGTTGTTTGCCCTAGAGTATGATGAGGCAGATCTCTAATGTAGCCATGACTGATGATTTTGTTGGAACATACATCATCTGAGGCTCGAGGTTTGCATTTTACTTCAATGATTACCCAACTTAGGTGTGTTTTTTGGGCATAAGAAGCATCATTCCAACCATTGTGCTGCTCACGTACCATGCAAAGGTGTGATGATGAAATAATAGGTATATTCTTCCGGAGAATTGTACTGAACCAGCCCAGGAGTGCAGTGCATAAGACCAGACATTTCACTCTATGCCAAACAAGTCAAATAATTCGGAAGTTGTAAGTGAATGACTGCTTTGTTCATCTAAGATGATGTACATCTTAACTGATTTAATGACTGCCATGATCTGATGCAGCTGGAGGAGGATCTGCAGGAGAAGAGTTTTACTCAAGTAGAAGTCAAGCTTGAATATGAGTATCACTCCCACATTTTATGTAACTGAATATAGTTTTACAGTCCTTTGCAAGATGTTCTGTAGAAGCACAACACTTGAAACTAACCCAAAATTGATTTAACAGTTCATTGCATTCCTAAAGGGTTGTTTTTAAGAATTCGACATTGGGGAATGGGATTTTCTATCTCCTCATTCTCGTCAACTTTATCAGAGTTTTTGTCAGCATATTTTTTTTTTTCAGAGTTTTTGTCAGTTCCATAATGCATTTGTCTTCTTAAGATACAGGAATCCGACAGTCTCTGAATTTGTGATCATATGTGTCCTTAGGAAAGGTTGAACCTTGATTGCTAGGCTGACTGTATATTAAACTTGGGTAATTTTTTTTTGTCTCTATGAACCCTTGGCTGATCACATCTCCTGTATGTTGTAAAGTAGCTTTGAAACAATTGGATTCATACCACAGGCGGTGTCTAGCTAGCAGGGGCCTGGTAGGTCAGGATCTTCCTTTTTCAAGCTGTAGTTCAACCAAAAGATATTTCTTGAGTCTTCTGATTATCCTTACCAGATATCTTGGGGGAAGTCGTGTAATCTTTTCAACAGAACATCTGCTATAGCTTCTGGACTGCTGTATCTCTGCCCTGGTCACTCCCAAATGTTGTGGAGACCTGCAGCTGGGTTATCAGCATTAACTGCATCTGACATGTCAGAGATGGGTGGCTTAGAAAAGTATGGAGTAGCAAAGGCATTTAAATCAGGAACAGGTTTGTAGTTCATCACCATGGCAGGTTGTGTCTCCAGGACAATGTTCCTGTCAAGAGGGAGATCACTAACCTGAAAAGGTGGTACTGGTTTAGCTGAAATGTTGACATAAGAGTTAGCGGCCTGTCTCTTTGTAGCTTTCAGCTCAGATTGCCTATTAAGCTGAACGTTTATGCTATAACAGACTGAGAGAAAAACAGGTTCATCACATTTGTATGTAATCACAGTAGTTTTAGGAGGCTGACTCTGAATGAATATCTGTGTTATCAGGGGCATCAAAGTTAACGGAGAATATGCTGCTCTGGCTTAATATATAGTCCTTAGTGTGTTGTATGCGACCTTCTGTATTTGCAAGGCTGACACCGTCTAAATCACTCGCAATAACAGATTGTTCAAAAACCTCCTATCTTAGCCATAGATGCCGCTTCTTCCCTTTCTTTCTGAAGGACTTCTAGCTTGGCTTAAGCCTTGGTCTGCATTACCTTTAAATCTGCTTGCACATTGCTTGTGCCTCCGCTTGCGATTTGTCCTCAGCGACTTGTGCCTTAATAGCCGCTTCCTTCTTCATGCAACAAGCCTCCACCCTTGCTTCTTCTGCCTCGAGCCCTTATCAGACATTCAGTAAGTGTAGAATGCGTTGAGCGGGGTAATCTTGAAGATTTCTTAGTATGCCTGGAGGATATTGTACGGAGAGATGTAGTTTCATGCAATTGTGATAGTTTGTCATCTATACTTGCCTTGGCATCTAGAAAGGTGTTGTGCCTTTCTTTAAAAGCGGTGACATTATCTAGTTCTTGTACAGACTGCTCGGTGTAAATGATTGATAGAAGGGTAGAATATTTTTCAAACAAACTCTTATTGTTTTCATAAACTCTTTTTAGCTTTGCAAACTTACTATTGAGTTGTTCCATGTCACGTGTTTTACCAACAGCAGTTATGCATTGCACAGTCTTATCCCACCTATCACATACATTTCTGCTTTGTTTGCTTC